TATTTTTAATTTAAATATGCAAGAAGACAGAATTGTTTCACAATTTTCAGCAGAAAATCATGAAAAGACGCATATAAATAATCATGAAAGTGGATTGTTTGATTTCTCAAGACTTCCTTGGGTGGCATTCTTGACTGTTTTGAAGTTTTTAAGGATATATGACTTGTGTCGTTTTTGCTTGGTGAATAAACGTTGGCGTAGAGCTTGTCAGGACCCGAGTTTATGGCGAAACCTAGATCTCGTCAAATACGAAACTATTTCGGATGATGACTTAATCCGGCTGACGTCTTACAGTAATAATGTGGTAGAATTGAAGATACAACAGTTGATCGATGTATACACATTAAGTGACTTAGGTGTTAGCCGTGCATTAAGACAGTGTCCGTCATTGGTGGAATGTACTATTGCTAATTGCCGTGGATTATCAGATGAGGTGATGGTAGCACTGGGGGAGTGTTGTCGTTTTATAAGAAAATTGGATATTACGCTATCTTTCAATTTTACTGACGAAGGCATAAAGAAGGTAGTATGCTGTCCGAGAAGTAAATATAGAACTACTCATGAACTGCACATACAAATACTGGCTGGCAATTTGCGATTCTCTACCCCACCCTAGGTAAAAAGTTGTTTCTGAGTTTTGCAACCAACAAATTGAAGGTACAGTATCCTATTTGGACAACTTTACAAATTGAAGGTGGATATCCTATTTACAGAAAATGACCGTTGCAAAACAGAAAGTTTCGCCCCCATGTCACCACTATTTTGACGTGTGAAACGTAAAGTTGTCCAATCGCAATGTTGGTTGCAACACTTGGAAACAACTTTTTATATTGGCATAGGGGAGTAAATCCATTTACCGAGTCAAATCCGAGTCCGAGTCAATCCCGAGCCCGAGTCAAATGCCCGAGTCGTGTAAAAAACGGACGAAAGTGAAGAAAATTCACAGTCGAATAGGGTTAGGAGTAGGTTTAGGGTACTAAGTCATTTTATCAACAAAGACAATTAAATAGTGACTCGGACATTTGACTCAAACTCGGATTTAAGTCAGTCAGTAACCGACAAACTCCGAAATTAAATAAAATTCACAGTTGAATAGGGTTAGGGTAAGTTAGGAATGCAATTATGGTTAGGATTATGGTACTAAGTCATTGAACTGCAAAGACCATTGATTGAACAATGACTCGAACATTTGACTCGGACTCGGATTTGACTCGGTTAACCGACAAACTCTAATCCTAACCATAATCCCACTCCTAACTTACCCTAACCCTATTCAACTGTGAATTTTATTTAATTTCGGAGTTTGTCGGTTACTGACTGACTCAAATCCGAGTTCGAGTCAAATGTCCAAGTCACTATTTAACTGCATGTCTTTGTCGATAAAATGACTTAGTACCCTAACCCTAAACCTACTCCTAACCCTATTCGACTGTGAATTTTCTTCACTCGGGACTGACTCGGACTCAGATTTGACTCAGTAAATGGATTTACTCGTTAGGATTAGGGTACTAATTCATTGAACTGCAAAGACCATTGATTAAACAATGACTCGGACATTTGACTCGGTTAACCGACAAACTCTGGCATAGGGTAATGCGAATGAATGCAAGCGGTAATATGTCTGTAATATTCCTTGTGTTTTTTGTATGTAGGTTTGCGAAGGATGCCCAGACCTCGAGGAAATAACAATAGACCAATGTGCAAATTTGACAAGTGAAACACTTGTACATCTTGGCAGGCATTCCACAATGTTGAAATACATATCCGCAATGAGCGTCATCCATATAACTGACCAAGGTGTCCGAGCATTGTTGCAAGGTTGTCGGCAGTTAGAGACTTTGCGCTTGCCATTTTGTGAACTTAAAGAGCAGAGTGCTAGCCACATTGCGTACAATGGTACACAGATAGTGTATCTAGATTTACGTGGAATGGAGTTAGATGATGATCATGTTCATAATTTGGTTATGTCGTTAACTGAAGTTGAAACATTGAATCTTGGCCTTTGCTATAAGCTGACTGATGTTTCTGTGACAGAGATTGCAAAATATTTTAAGAAAATGAAGCATTTGTTCTTGATCAATAGTAAAATTACAGATGAAGGTATTGGGCATACATTTACACTTTATACAACAAATTATGTTTAACCCATTGGGGTACCCTACTTATCAGTTTACTCTGTCTAATGCCAGATGATTTTACTTGTCAAGGGGAGAGCGCTGGCACTTAATGGGTTAATCATACATAGTTTAATTTAATGAATTGTCCCAATTAAGCATATCTCTACATGCATATGCAAATAGTATATGACAGGTGTTCTGATATCAAGGTCATGTGATTCAACATTGAAGGGTCATGATTGCAAGAACGACAAGAGTGGGGCCGGAATAGTCAGATCCTGGCAGCTGTTTAATTAACAGGGCCTGGAAAACTTGGAAATGATCACAGCACTATAACCTGTGACATGATATGCTAAGGTTAAACCAAAGGTTATAATTCTAAAGGTGGGCTGTCTGTTTCTGACTGTGACTCATGATGGACTGACTTTGCTTCAGATTGTGACAATACCATATTTCAAAAATTCGAAAGTGTAGCAGTTACAATTATCAGGGCCCATTTCCACACAGGAAAATTTTCCGCCAAAAGAAAATTTTGTAAAATGTGATTGGCTAACACAAATTTTCAACCTTTAACAATATTTTTGGAAAATTTTCTGTCGGTGTAAAATTTTCTCGAGTGGAAATTATGGGCCTTCAAAGATAGTTTTTTTGTTTTATTAGGTCTTTTCCAATTAAGTGCACATTGTCGAAGTCTCGAACGTCTGGATGTGAGCTGGTGTCAAGGTGTTACTGAAGATGGTGCTAGAAACATTCTTAATGGTTGTTCAAAACTTAAACATTTAGGTATATTCATTAATTCATATTGAATAATGCTTTCCTGATTCCCATATTATTTTCTAAAATAAGTTTTTATGTGATTATCTTTTCCCAGGATTGTTCCGGTGCGGAAAAGTTTCGGAGTCTGCAGCGAACGAACTCAGCTTGCAGTTTCCGCATGTATTCATCAGTACTCTTGAAACAGAAATGAAGAAATCAACGAGTGTGTAATAATCAAACAGCTAATTCTAATTAAGACCCTGAGCCATCATTGAAAAGTGTAGAATTAGTCCAAAATTGTGATATCATAATTATAGAAATGTCAAGTACCTAAAATGTGAAAGTAATAGGCCCTTACACTTAGCTTTAAGTAACACTTGGAAAACAGAGGTCATTTAATACTTTCAGGAGCTGCTATTTTTGGCAGGGGGGGGGGGAGGTAGAATGTAAAAAATCACCCTAGCAAAAGTATGGGCTTTTGGTTAGTTTTATGTAATAATAACCTGACCTGAACTGATGAATGCTGTGAAGGGGGATATAGTACAATACTCATCCAACAAGAATCAATTATAAGTTCTTTGTAGGTTTTTAAGAATCGATTAATTAAAGTAAAAATATTTTTAACTTTGTTCTGCAACAAAAGTGTGTAATTTTTTAAATAAAAGCTGTTTATAGACAGCTAGCAAATTTTGATACACTGAGGTATATGTATTTACATTTTCATTTACTTAATAAACATATCAACACAACAAAAGTAAAATGATGAGAGTTGGTCGGCACAAGAGATGATGTCGGACACTGTGGTAACTTTGCCTCATTACATCAGTGGTGCTAGTGGTGGGCATGATTCGTGCATAAAATGCTGTGAGGAAATCAAACCATTCTGCTTTTCTCTAAAAAAGGAGCAAAACAATACATAACTTAAATTTGCATGTGTGCTGTAAATCAGGAATGGATTTACTGAGGATTGAGGACATTAAGGATATATACAGTTTGAAGAGGGGGGGTGGACTCCCTGGCCACCTATACTAGGCAACCACCAGCTCAGAATTGAACCTTGTCTAGGGATTCCTCTCTCAGAACATTTCTGTAGGCTTCCCTGTCATAATGTATCCTTATATCTATACCTATATAGTCATACCCTTGAACATGGCTCTAGCTGATCAAGCTGGATCTATTACTAGTCTTAACGACTAACTATTTAACTAGCCTACATAAAAGTCAATTAATTAATAAAAAAACATCTTGAAATAAGCTTCAAGCTAGCTAGCTAGCAAGCTTGAAAATAGAAACTTTTTTTTTGCAAAACTTACACATCATATTGTAGATGTTCTAAGACATTATTTACATGCTCTGTTGGTATTTCTCCATCAATCATGGCAAGATATGTGTATAATTCTTTGAAAACTTTAAAGTCGATCCTTGATGGCCCTCCTTCCAAGTCTGTTGTAAGAATTTCACAGACTGTTTTCATTGCCTCAGTTAGGTTCTAGAGAATTTCAGAATTTCAATTTGTGGTTACTTGGAAATAATATATTGAATCTAATGGGGCATTCTCTGGACAGCATGGGCTATATGATTTCATACCTCACTTATCGTCACTGCTGCAAGTGAGAGGAAATGTACCCATGTTATTTCTTCTGCAAAACTACCCAGTCTAAAAAAATATGAAACACAAACTCAATAAATATGTACAATACATATAATATAAACCCTCATAATATATGATAAAGCCTCATACATATTAGTGATATGATATCATTGATGTCTTAACCCTAGTTAACAATCAATATTAGGCTGTTCCATAAAAGACCCCCCCCCCCCACAGAGGAAATTTCTGCCATCTGGAGGGGGAGGGAAGAAAAATTTGTTTCTGATAATAGTAAGTGTAGGTAGGGGGGTTAACTTCCAATTTCCTCCGCGGGGGATATGGATGTTTTCTGGAATGACCCATTTCAGTATACCTAAGGATCTCATACAATCTGTCATCTGGTAACGATAAATGTTTCCACTTCTCTTGCAGTGACGATTGTTCAATTATCGGCTTTGAACCAAGCTGTAATATTAAAAATAACAAATGAAACCACTTTGTCAGTGCATGATAATGTGGCATTCATTGAGCACAAAATAAGACGGGCATGCGCATATACCTGCTTGTGTAGTACTTCTAGAAAACCCTTGCTCACTGGTCTTTCTAGAGCAGAGCCGACAGGAACCTCCAGACGATCTTTTACTGGCAAAGGTTCCCCTTTGGACAATGCTTCAAAATACCTGAAATTTTATGTAAACTTTACGTTAGCCAATAAACTACTAACATTGCGCCCAGGATGTTTCATCAAATGTTTTGTTTCGAGTGAGATTTTTGACAACACACATGCCAACCAGAAATAAATCGAGCCATTATGCATGGCAAGCGGTGACAGGTGTTTAAAATCATTGACTGCGGTTCTTGATTTCGAACAAGAATGGCTGTTCCCATCACTCGATTGACTTCCGGTTGGTGCCTGTGTTGTCCAAAACATCACTTGTTTACAGTAAGCCTGGTTCACACTAGAAATTTTGTCGGCGATTTGTGTTGCAAATGCAAATGAGTGAACTAGCACACAAAAGTATAGACTGTCAGAACTGAGTTACTTTTTCAGAACTCAGAAGTAAACAATTCGAAGTTTTTTACACGTCATTCATTTGATCACATTTGCCACGAGGAGAAAAATTACCAACAGAATTGCTAGTGGTGAATCAGGCTTAAAGCTCTCTATTTTACTATTTACACAACAAATTAAAGACATTTTTTCCCAGTCGAACAATCTTCAATCTTGTTTTCATAAAAGACGGACAACTTACGCAGCAGACCACTCTAAAACATCGTTAGGTTGTGTCCTGATAGCTGCCTTGGTAAACTGCTTTAAGATATCAGGTAATTCCGGCGGAATATTGATCTGTTGCGAGCAATAAATAGGCTCATCCGTTGCAGGCATTTTAGCCTTCTTCTACAAAAATGAACATAAATAAATAAAACAATATGGCGAATTGTTACCATGGTGACAACTTGCCTCAGGTCCCACACGTGTGCGTGCCGCGCGGCTTGCAAAAATATGTATAGAATTCGAAAAATATGAAAATATATTTTTGTAGATTGTAGACTAAGAAGCAACCTCGTACCCAGGGCTTCTGCGCTTATTGCTGAGAGCAATAAGCGCAGAAGCCCTGGGTACGAGGTTGACTAAGAAGAGTATAAAATTATTAACTTTGCCCAGTCTACCAGTTCGTTTTGTTTTGAACGTTGTCAACAAATCTATAACTAGAAGTTACTATCGCAAGGAAAATGCTGCCTCACCCCCAAGGGATCAAAGGCAGCATGCAAAATTCGCTGAATAAGGGGCTGTTTATATGATCCCGCTTTGCCAGGACGAGATATGAGCAATTATTTAGGCACAATTCCTCCGTAATTTCTCGCCAAAAATTCCATAAGTAGTGCTTTCCGTTTCACCTTTCGCCAAATGGATAACAATTTTACCGAATTCCTGACGACCGGGAGGGGGGAGGGGGGGTGGAACACCCCCACACACATCCTCGAACGACATTTAATTCTGTCTGTTGTAAAAGTTTTGTGCAACCGTTACACCCATAGTCTGCACCCGCACTGCACCCACAAAGTTGAAAATGCAAAGGCAAGGGGTGCACTTGCACCCACTGCACCCGTGGTTCCGGCATCCCTGATTTTGATGTACTTAAATACGTCACAGTGTAGACACACAACTTTTGCCTAAAACTCTCGCATGCAACCTGCTTACATCAAGTTGTTCTGTGTAAATCAAGCACACAACTCACCTACACGGCAAAAAACGCCAGCCTGTAACAATGTTGTTGAAAACAGGCTTGAACAATGTTTTGCTGCCCACATTGTTCAAAGCTGTCAACAACATTGAACAATATTGTTGAGCTTGAATCGGGTGTAACAATATTGTTCAATATTGTTGACAACTGTGAACAATGTGGGCAGCAAAACGTTGTTCAAGCCTGTTTTCAACAGCATGGCGTTTTTTGCTATGTATACGACAATCTAAGGGCCATTCCATTTACAGTAATACACCCCCACCCCCCCTATGGACGAGACTTTCTGAGGAGGGGGGTTGAAAAAGCCGTTTCCGAGGGGCTGTGTGCATCGGCATCCTTTGATCTTTGCGTTTTTTTCTGAGGGGTAAGGGGGGTGTTTGTGTCGGCACTTTGATTTTTTTTTCTTAGGGGTTCAAATTTTATTGAACTCATCCATAGGGGGGGGGGGGGTGTACATTAAATGGAATGGCCCTAAGCGAGTTGTATGCTTGATTTACACAGTACAACTCAAGTTGTAAGCTGTCAGTGACAAGCAGGTTGCATGTGACAGTTTTAGGCAAAATTTGTGTAGTCTAATCCGCCTTTGTGGAAGATTTTTTCAGTCGCACCATAAAACCTCGGACCCGCGAACAGGCTGCGTAGGAGACTACACCATATAAAGCATTGTTCCAGAAATTCTAATTGCTCTTTTACTGTAAAATTAAAAGAGTTTATATTTATATTATGTTGATTTTCTGCTAAGTTTGAAGCCCCCCCCCTGCTTTGGAAAAGGGCTTTAGTTAACCCCCGGTTGCCCCGTTGAGCCACGCCCACACCTTATTAACAACAGCATATATCATAGTTTTATATTTCACTTTTCACTTCCCGTATAAACAATATTTTATAGTGTCATTAATTATTAACCAAATGATCTTTCATTGTTACTATATTCGCTGTTTACAGTTTACTGTCTTTTTGCTTTATATGGTATAAATGACTTGAATATGAGCGATTTGCCTGCGTTATTACTCTTGGCATTAGTTGTACTTTATGTCATTTTAAAGTTCTTGAATGTAGTCGAGCCGGCAAGAGCCCCAAAGTTGTTTTTTCGAAGGGCCGGAAGAGGGGATCGTCTTGTTACTCAAATCGTCAACTTATGTCCAATTTTGCAACAAAGGTGAGGAGAGAAATCAGGATGCATAAACAGTTTATTTGCATGTGTATTGATTTTTCTGATTACAGAGTTGGCTGTTATAAAGTGTAACTTATATAAATGTAATAATGTTGTATATAAAACAACACATAAAAGCGGTATTTACAGTTTGTGGATTGCGAGAATAGAAAATAAAATAATGCAAATACAGCTATGCAGCTAGGTATAAATTTCTGATTGCTAAAAATAAGTACACAAAGGTTCAATGTAAGGAGCTGTTTATATGCGGCGAACCAGCCAGCCCGGGTACATGGGCTGGCGCGCTTTAGCCGAGATCCCACTCAATTTCCTTTTGCATTTATATGGGAGCATTCGCTGGCCCGACAAAACAAGATCTTGGGTGACCAGGCTAGGAATTTTCCATATAAACGCAATGACCCTTGTGCGTATAGGATATGGCAAAACCCAGTGTGGAAAGTTTGTATCGCGCGGCGGATATCTCCGCCGCGCAATTTTGATGCTTTTTATATATTTACTATTAAATTTTCGAAATGTCCGGCGCGCAATTTCCAAACTTTCCAGTCTGGGGCAAAACTACAAGCGGAAGATTGATCTTTGACGAGCATATTTGGCAAACTTAACAGCAAGGGCGGGTAGTAGCGAAGTAGTTGTAGTTCGCTACTGTAGCGAACTACAATTTTCAAGTAGCCAGTAGTTTTTGACTACTTTTTCAAAACAGTAGTTGTAGTTATAGTGAACTACATTTTGCCTAAAAGTAGCCAAGTAGTTGACTACTTTTCAAACAGCGAATCGCTATTCGCTACTTTTTAAAATTGTTAGCAACTTGATAGAATAGCATGATATTGAGACACGGTTTGCTTAAAACTATCAATACTCAATAGTCAATTTGCACTCCTGAACACTGTAGTGCTTACAAAAATGTTGCTTTGTGCTTACTGTTGCTACTCGTAAGTAGATTTGTTATAGGTTACATTACAGCCTGAGTAAGTAGATGCTCCAAATACAGTAAAACTAAAAAATATAGCGTAGCGAAATAGTTCGCTACATTTTTTAAGCAGTAGCTGTAGTCAGTAGCGAACTACTTTTGTTCAAAAGTAGCAGTAGTTGTAGCTGACTACATATTTTTGAAGTAGCTGTAGTTATAGCGAACTACAAAAATTTTGTAGTCAACCCACCCTTGCTTAACAGTTTGGAATTCAGCTACAAGTTTTTCAAGGATACAGGATGGTGTATATACCTGTACCAAGGCCAGACAGCGATATTCACCCGAAAGCAATTGTGGGTTAACCCTTGCAAACAGCCAGAAATGTTGTGAAATTTTTTTTCTATATTTTTAGATATGTACCCCCATTATTATGGGGTAAAAATGGCCATTTGCACACATTTGTATTTTCCAAACTCAGTCCTAAGATTGAATGCAGGGCAACACGGCAGCATAGTGTTAAACTGGAGGATAATTCCACTGTCATATTTGATATTTTTGAACCATGTCCAGATGAAAAAAGTGAGGTAGGGAAACAGAGATAACTGCAGTTGTTGTTGACATCTGAGAGTTGTGGTAATTTGGTGAGAAAATTGGGGTAGGGGCTGTGGTCCCAGCCTTGGCCATTGGGAGGGGATTGAGGCGGTGCAAAAGGTTTCCAATTTCCTTTTCTAATTAAATTAATGGCCCAACTAATAAAGTAATTATATTACCCTTACTATTATTAACCCTTTAAGTGGCAATGCGCCCCACTTTATTATTTTACTCTGTCTAATGCCAGACGATTTTACTCATTAGGGGGAGAGTGCTCCCACTCAATGGGTTAATCAGACTATCTGCCCATGGATGCACCCTGTTAACCCTTTACTGTCGTTCCAATTGAAGTGTTGCTCAAATATTGATTCGATACATTACCTTGGGCTGACCAATTCATTTCATCAAGTTCCTTGAGATATTCATACACTTCCTAGTATAATTGTAAACTTCCTGCCAAATAGTTTGAATGCACCAATCACCTCTGTTGTTTGTGCAACTAACCAATCATAAATAGAAAGGAAGTGACCAGAAATGATCAAATACTTGGAATTGGCTCTTTCACAGGAAGTGCATGAATTTCTCAAGGAACTTGATCAAATGAATTGGTCAGCCCGAGGTAAAGTATTGAATCAATATTTGAGCAACACTTCAATTGGGATGACAGTAAGTGGGAATGCAGCCAGATGCACCCCACTTTATTATTTCATTCTGTCTAACACCAGACCATTTTACTCCTCAGGGGGAGAGTGCTGTCACTCAATGGGTTAACCAATTGAGTGGATTGAAGCACTTTCCCCTTGATGAGCAAATGTCTTGTGTTAGACAGAATAAAATAATAAAGGTTAATAATGGATAAGTGTGAGTTGATGTTCGGTCGAGCCACAATCAAACCATGCCCATTTTTGGTAACTATACCAAATTTCTTGATTACCCATCGTTATGTGGACCACAGGGCCACAGGTTTGAGGGCCACAGGGTTGTTAGAGGGAATTCACTATTATGTGCTACCCTCTTGAAATAAAGTTTTTCATTCATTCATTCATGTTAATCTTTATATGAAACCCACTTAATTTTCACCTCCCCCCCTCCTGGGGTAAGGCACCAACGATGTCGACCCCAGTCATAGGTTGGCTGAAAGAGGTGGGCCAAGTGGGAAATTTGTTTAGGCCCCCAAAACTGATCGATCCTCCAAATTCTAGAGGCAGCAGCCAAAATTGAAAGGGTACACATTTCAACTCACCTTCAAAATCTTTGTCTATACTGGATTATATACCTGTTTAGCACATTAAACTAAACTAAATTTGAGCGTAAAGCATTGTGTATGGAGGTTCACTGATCTAAAGCTGTGCTTCTGATGTTGTAGTTAACAGGTGACTACACAATTGTCGTGGTTCCTGGAATAGCCAATGATAGCAGTGGAGCTTATGTTTTGTTACTTTGTAAATATGCGACCAAACTGGGATGTCGCGTTGTCGTCCTGAATCACCTTGGGGTGCTGCCTGGAGTGAAATTGACTTCAAAAAGAATTTTCACATATGGTTAGTTGCCTTTCTCAAATATGGTTAGTTGCCTTTCTATTGCAAGTGAAATGCTGGACATATATGTTTATCAGAAAGGGCCTTTGGCTTTGCTTGAAATGTCAAAGTTCTCTTTGCAGGACTTGAAATAACGTTCCCAAAGTTCCTGATTTACATAAACCTCAGCTTTGATTTTCTCGGCTTAGACAATGTTTATTTTTAAAATTACTTCACCAATGAACTCATAAGATGGGTCACTTTTTAAGTACGATAAAACATTCGCATCCGATCTGTATCTGATATTCAAACTCTCGCCTTCGGTTCGAGTTTGTATATCAGATACAGATCGGCTGCTCATGTTTTATCTAGTACTTAAACGTTATACAGGAACCAAATAGTTTTGTCAAACTTGTACAAAGGCAAGCTCTTTGCCTGAAACTGACCACTTGAATTCAGTATAAATAAACATGATTCATGTATTTTTATTTGCGCAATAATTCTCTAATTTCACACGTGTACATGCTAAGTTTTTTTCCATTCTGGTGACCATAAAAGTACCCTCATCTTCTGTGTTTCTAAATACGTGTCATCTTCCTGTGTTTTATGACCTCGTTTACTTTATCTTTCCATCTTTTGTGTGGCCTTCGTGTTTTTCTTGGAATGGCTAGGTCCACGTAGTTGTTGTAACAAGTTTGGAACGTGCTGGTAGCGACATGTAAGAAGCTTGATGGCATTACTAGTATACGATACTTGTTACAAAGTTGTTCTAACAAGTCTGATACATTCATAATTAAATATAACAAGAACCTTACAAAGTTGATGACACAAGGTTGTAACAATATTGTTACTTATCATAACTGTATCAGACCTGTTGGAACAACCTTGCAACGAGTCTGATAATACCATCAAGCTTAATTGTTACAAGTTGTTAACAGCTTGTTCCAAACTTGTTGACAACTTGGGACAAGCAGTGCAAACACAACTTGTTGACCGCTTATTGGCAGACTTGCTACAAGATGCGAGATTTTTGCGTGTGTATATTCCTCTTTTTTGTCACATGCATGGGCTAGGTTTAATTTCAACTTATATAACTATATAACTGAATTGGTATCTTAATGCTAATAGAGAGTAGTATCGATTATATAGAAAACGAGATTGTTCTCATGGGAATAGACCTTTCCCCTTTTGAGTGAAATTTTGATGTAGACAAGTCTGGACAAAAATTTCATCACAGCTTGAAAGAGCATCACAAAATTAGTAATATTCCGAAGTTTCGTTGCGAGATGTTGTAAAATGCAGAGAGTAATTCAGCCTTGCGAAGTTTGCCGTTTTTCAGTCATTTTGTATTACAAATGGGAAATTGATAATCAGTTTCATCATCGGATTATCAATTTCCCGTTTGTAATGCAAAATGACTGAAAAACGGCAAACTTCGCAAGGCTATATTATCCGCATTTTACAACATTTCGCAACGAAACATCGGAATATTACTAATTTTGTGATGCTCTTTCAAGCTGTGATGAAATTTTTGTCCAGGCGCATCTAGATCAAAATTTCACTCATAAGGGGAAAGGTCTATTCGTACAGTTTTTGTCTTATCTAGAAACACAAGTATACCAATTTTTTAATTTTTTGTTTCTACAGGCAGTACAACTGAGTTAGATGCAATGGTTAGATACACGACGGAAAATTATCCCAATACCAAGCTACTGGGCGTAGGTTTTTCCTTGGGAGGTAATATACTGGTCAAATATTTGGGAGAAAATCCTGAACATCAGAGAAATTTCATTTGTGCAATCTCTCTCTGTCAAGGCTATGATATTTTGAAGTAAGTACCGTACAATCTGCTCAATGTCCGCTCTAGAACAATGCTTTATTGTGTGAAAAGAATGCTTTTATTGAGTATGAGAACAATGCTTTTATTGTGTGAAGAACAATGCTTTTATTGTGTGAGAACAATGCTTTTATTGTGTGAAAGCCATCCTTATATTGTTCTAGAACAATGGCTATTGTTCAAAATGGAATATTCTTCGAGTTCGAGAACAATACTTCTATTTTGTGTAATGTACACAATAAATACATCTTCATTACTTAGGCACTTAGGCCGGCCACAATGCGATACAATAGGCAGATGTTTCAACCACAATGACCTTCAATTCTAGAGCATGTCCAGCAATGGAAGAATGGGATGGATTACGTCGTGGATATAACTGGTTGATTACACAAAAAGTGAAGTCGGTCATTAAACGACATGCTCAAGAACTGTTAGGAGGATGTTCAAGCACACCTTATCAAGAGTTTAAGAGAAACAAAGTTTTGATGGCAACTTCGCTTAAAGAAATTGATGAACATTTTGGCAGGTAGTTATGATAGGTCTGGGTTTACAGTATTTTGTAATTATATGCTAGTATTTATAGTAAAATACATCTTCATGTAACTATATATATCTGTGTACATTTACAACTATATCCAAGTACTCTAACTCTACAACCTTCTTATTTTAGAAAAATGGCGGGATATCAAAGTGTGGATGATTACTACAAGTACAGCAGTAGCTCATATTATATTGACAAAGTAATGTGCCCATTCTCATATAAATGTCGATGAATTTAATGATTGTCCCTATTCGTACGCTTATTTCTGTTTCTTCGAAACTGTTATTTTAGGTTGAGATTCCTATGTTACTTGTAAATTCTCAAGATGACCCTTTGGTACCAGAAGAGTTATTGGAAACTCCGAAGAAATACGTCAACAGTATGTATGATTATACAATAGAACAATATAATAGAAATATTAACAATACAATAAACAATAGAATTTCTTCGACAATAAACTATATTCCCTTTTGGTAGTTGATCACGAATTCCGTTTCAGGGCCCTTAAGCGCCCTGATGTAGTTCTCTCCAGCAACGAGTGAACGACCCTTTCGTCAGGAGAGTTTGTACGAAGGGACCGAAGGATTTTCTTTCAGATAACTTAGTTATGCGTCCTCAGGCTCAGTACAAACACGAGCACAAGATGCATTATGCGTCTACACGTGTAAAAATCTCACCACTTGTCAAAAAGATGTGTTCGCAACAGGCTTGTAGCAAGCTTGTCAACAAGTTGTAACAGTGCTGTTATTTTATCAAGTTGCTATACAAGGTTGTCACTCACAACTTGTTGAGAAATTGTTGAATTGCAGGACGGCGTCCACGCTATGATATTAATACTCTGTAACAGTTCGTTGTTACATTGATATATTGATATTGCGTATATATCAATAGGAACAAAACCAGTTCATTCATACTTGTGATTCGATACTTGTAAACTTCATACAAAATCTTGAATTTTTAAATGCCAAAAATTCACAACTTTGCGAAACATTCCGCACAGGAAACATGGGAAATGCTCTCCGAGACTTCGGCAAAAATTTTTCTGGGGGAAGCATGCCCCCAGACCCCAATAACAATTTTCTTCAGACGCCACTCCGCAGTCCGCCTACACACGTAAAAATCTCACAACATGATGCGTTTGCAACAGGCTTGTAGCAAGCTTGTCAACAAGTTGTAACATTGCTGTTATTTTATCAAGTTGCTACAAGATTGTCGCTCACAACTTGTTGACAAATTGTTGAATTGCAGGACGATAACAAATTGTTGGAACAACTTGTAACACGTCTGCTGAACTCAACAACCTTGTAGCAAATTGTTAACAAACCGTTGACGACCTGTCAACAAGCTGGGAACAAGCAGTGCGAACACATCCTATTGACAAGTTGTCGGAACAGCGTTGCTACAAACGTAAAAACGCACAAGTTGTAACAAATCTGCAGCAGACTTGTAGCAATGCTGTTTCAACAACTTGTCAACAGGATGTGTTCGCACTGCTTGTTCCCAACTTGTTAACAAGTAGTCAACGACTTGTTCACAACTTGCTACAAGTTTGTTGAGCTCAACAGACTTGTTACAAGTTGTTCCAACAACTCGTTATCGTCCTGCAATTCAACAATTTGTCAACAAGTTGTGAGTGACAAGCTTGTAGCAACTTGATAAAATAAGAGCATTGTTACAATTTGTTGACAAGCTTGCTGCAAGCTTGTCACGAACACATCTTGTTGACAAGTTGTGAGATTTTTACATGTGTACAAGTCTGTTGCAGGTGTGTTACAACTTGTTCGTTTTTACGCGTGTAGACGAACCACAGTCGGTTGTCTCTCAAGGGAGTCAAGAGACGCACAACCGATGACAGCTCGAATGCATGCATCTTGTTCCATCTTCATACTGAAGACGCACAGCCATTGTCAGCAATGTCATTAATTTGTCGCTGTTTTTAGGACCAAATAGTAAAGCGTTATTTGTGCTGTCGCAGTTTGGTGGCCATCTTGGATTCTATGAGGGTGGACTGTTCAGACGAGCCACACAAACATGGTTAAATAAAGTTATATTACAGTATATTAATGCAGTTTTGACAATTGAAGAAAAATCAATCTCATGATATAAAGTTGGAAATTATGGTAACAGGATAAGGTATTGTATTGATCATATTTTTGTAAAAATACATCTATTTTGAAAGTGACTATATTATTGCATAACGTACATTATATATAGCAATTATTCCAATGAGAGCTAGTTTGTTTTTTGTTTATATATTTACAGATGCGGTTATTAAATTAAGTTTAAAAAAACAAGTTAGTAATTTTAAATTATAAACGGCTCAATTTATTCTAGAGATGGATGATCTTATTGACAAACTTGGGTTTAGATAAAATAGTTCATTTGATGATTTCTAGGTGTGACAAACAGGGAGATCCTCTATTTTAAAACAAAACGATGGGGTTAGTTACACATACTTTGCCAGTATATATGGCACATTTCTATATTTCTGTCTTGCGTTTAGATGGAGCAGATGATCAGTCTGACAGATTATTCACATCTAGAATAAATTGGCCAATTACGTATTATAATTTGTGCATAATACACTGACTGTTCTTTCTTTTGAAAAATAATCTGTACAAAGTTTTTGATGTAGGAAAAGATCTTTGGCAAAGATCACATATTTCTGTTTATGTCAGACAGCATTTCATCTAAACTTTACACTATGTATCACCTGTCATTATGGCTATGAACTCTTCTTCATTGACTAAAATGACAAAACAAGTAGAAATATTATGTGGTATAATGGGCAGGGATGGATTTACTGGCCAGAGGGGGTGCAGGGGGGCGTGCTATTTGTTATGATTTTTTTAGCAAAAAAGACAAAATGAGATACAGTAATTTGAGTAATAACATGATGATAAGTGAACTGTGAACAACAATTACAATTCAAATACAGTAGTTGATGGGCGGGCGGCACACATGACCGACACAACTCAGCAGTCGGCACCAGAGCACCCCCCTACCAGATCATGCTGGAAACATCCCTGATAATGGGTCCATAGGCATACAAGGGGGCTGCAGCCCCCTCCCCCCACACAATAATTTTTTGGTCAGGCAGTTCGTACATAAAAGTCGGGCAGATTGTACTTAAAAATTGGAATTTGGGGAATATTTTTGCTGTCAGTCAATTTCACAAACGTCAGACAAATTTTCTTCCTATACGCCCATGTCCCACTTAATTAACCTACTCTATGCCAAATGCCAGGAAATTTTAAGGTGAAAAGGTAAGTCGAAAGATTTATGTAAGAAACTTCTTTTACAGGAAGACAATTTCTGTTAGTCCACATCTCTGAGAAAAGCTAACTAGTGCATGAGCTTGAAATTCAAGTTCTGAAATCCAAGACAGTTTCTTTTGACTTACTTTCACCATCGCCATCTTTATCAAATTCATCAATCATCGCTCGTAATTCTTCATCTGTCATCGTCTCGCCAAGTTCTCGAGCGACACGACGAAGGTTTCGTAAACTTATTTTACCACTGTCGTCATCGTCAAATAGTCTGAACGCCTTAAAGATTTCCTCTTGCGGATCTCGGGCAAGCATCCAATCCGTCACTAAAAAATGTATGGCACTTGATAATGAATGGGAGATCTGGCTATTTGTATCAATATGGCAATAAAACATTATTAGCAGAATATCAGGCATAATTTGTTACCAGAAAAATTGCTATAGTGGTGTTGCACATAGATCATGTTATTCTAAGGATATTTCATCTTGTGTCTACAGATGTCCTATGTGTCCTAAGACGGATGGGGTCGATTCCTATAAACTATTATTGAAATTACTGAAAAAATAAGTTGGTGTAGGTTTCTTACAGACTGCTTTCATGAGAGATGAAACATTTCCATGTACTTACTGACTTCATAAAAGTCATCGAATGTGATCTTCCCTGTTGCTTCTTTGTCATACTCTTTCATTACTTTCAAAACGTCGGCTTTCTTCACTTCAAAACCGAGTGCTCTCATTGCAACCTTGTTACAAAAAGATAGATTGTTACAAGTTTTGCAGTTTACCATATGCCAAAGTGTTCGGGCTGGTTTTTAATTTGATGATGTTCAATTCCAAATTTGATACTGTTAATTGGTGGCATTCAGTAATTACTTTGGTCATTTGAAATGTAAGATTTCAAATAGAAGTAGTGTATGTATAAAATTCTTGTAATAGTTGTTATTGCATTAATGCAACATTGCCATACAATGGACTACAACATTATTATAACATGATACAGTGATAACATAGTTAATACTACATGATAACAATATTTTCATAACAAATACCATTGTTTATGAAAAATGAACAGTCAAAGATATTTAAAAATAATTTTTTGCCATCTCCGAAATTAAAACTTAACCCATTCAGCGCCAGTGCTATCTCCTTGACGAGTAAAATCGTCGGGTGTTAGACAGAGTGAAATAATTTATAAAGTAGGGTGGAATGCAACTTAATATGTTATTAGTGACTATTTGAATGTTTCAATTATTAATAGCTCAGCCAATCATCATGTGGCTAATTAAGCGTGATTGGTTGATCAGATCATGACAACAACGCTTGCAATATGACACTGGTTTTGGTATAAACAATGATACACAACATGCAAATGAATGCAATTATGTTTTGTAGGTTATCAGAGCACATAAAATACATTATATGGCCTCCTAAACCTCATTCACACCTTTAGCTCATGATAATCGATCGCCTTGTCCTTATCTGTGTCAAATAAATCAAAGGCCTCCCGAATTTCTTGCTTCTGTTCCTCTCCGAGTTCCCGCCTTTTTGGCCGACCGCTCTTTCCTTTTGAAAAATCAGGCGCTCTCAACGACACGCTCATTGCTGTTCCTAGCAGAACAACAGCGATAAAATGCTAGCGTATTTTCCTTTTACTTGCAGGATTAAATATTTTGCTTTCTCGATAGGTTTAACGACTTTTTGACCCGTGGAATCAACCGACGCGCTTCTCCAAAACTTTGTTGCTAGCGTTGCCGGTTACTTGTTAAAATACATCGTTCAAACGAATTTCCGAAAGATTCCGAAAATGATAATTTGTCGAAGGCTACTTTTTTAGCCCATTGTTCGGCCCACATAAATTTTATAATTTTTCAACAAAAGAATAGTAAAAGTATAGCTTTTCGTAAAGATGTAAAACCAGTTAAATTTATGTATTTATTTTATGTATACATAAATTGAAACGGTGCCACATACTGATGTCCGACTCTTTGCCGATCTTTTTCCGAGGGTGGTAAAGGTTGAACTTCAACTTCTGAGGTATGATGTTTAGAGCATGTTAATTCTGCCGGAAACTAATTAAGAACCTGTCACAGCCAATTAGGAATTAATTAAGATCTAATTATCTTGAAATGCAGTTTTAATTAAAACGCCAGTGTAAATTAATACCTGTGTATTGCTTGTCATTGCTTTATTGTGCGATCACTTACAATTATTTAAATAGGTGGCTTTCAAAAGCAATCCCACGAGAAAGGTTAATTAACGGAGAAAGTAATGAGATTCTAATGAGATTATTTTATGTAAATACCCTCCATTTTTACTGAGCTGTAGTTAACCTTATACTTTAATTAAGAAAGTACCAAAAACAACCAAAAAGGAAACTACATCGGTGAAAACGCACAAGTTTTTACAGGTCTGCAAATCAAGAGTTGTTTGCATTGCTTGTTCCCACTTGTTTGCATTGCTTGTTCCCACTTGATGACACTATCAGACTTAGCTTGTAACAAGGTTGTTCTAACAAGTTTGATACAGTCATGATATAACAGGAATGTTACAAGGTTGACGACACAAGGTTGTAACAATATTGTTATATCATGACTGTATCGGACTTGTTGGGACAACCTTGCAACAAGTCTGATAATATCAACAAGGTTGTTACAAGTTGTTGTACAGCTTGTTCCAAACTTGTTGACAATTACTTGGGACAAGCAGTGCGAACAGCTTCTTACAAAATGAGATTTTTACGTGTGTATACAGTAATTGTTCAGTTCATTGTTAGAATGCAGTGAACATGACGTGATACGGTTTTGTCCAGAGGGTTTTGTCCATGCATTCGGCAAACAAGAATTAAAATTGAACTTTGACACTTGCTTATAATAATTTTTATTGCCACAGTTACTGAATACATTAATTATTCAGAATAAATAGTGTTGCAGATGGAGTTATGCACTCCCCCGCAATTTTAAAAACAATCACTCCCGATCAATTTTTAACATCTGAAATGGCACTCGTCCACACCCCGATTCTAGTGTTTATTTCACAATGAAGTACCAGTTTATATAATGCATAAAAACCACTTAGCTTTTTCCGAAAAGTGGCCGGTGGTCTTTGTAAAAACAGAACAACTCACAAAAGGTCATGGTCACAGAATGGTAATCACGAGACTTCCGCTTTTTGACTCGGAAGTTGTATGGTTCCTTCCGAGAAATTATACTGTACAGGCAGTCACGACATCACGCGCGCTATATACGAGCGAGGCTTCGAGGAAATAAAATACTTTTCGTACAACACTCGTCCTACAAGAGTCAAGTACTCGTTAACATTGCTAAAAATCTTACTTCTTGGTGTTCTATGAAGCATGCAGGCGCAGCGACCGAACGCGAAGAAACAAGCGATAAACGAGACCCACTTGACAGTCGAAGATGAGCCGAAGGTCGAGAAATTAAAGCGTCATCACGAGCAACAGCCCAAGCTAGGATTTCTACCGTATGTAAAATGCGCAGTGGCTGGTTTCCTGAGTCTCTTGTTGCTTGGTTGTGGCGTTTTCAGTAAGCTATCTGTGATAGCTGTTGCGAAATGTGATGACGGGTCAAGCGCGAAAAAAGGCAGGCGTTATATAATGTTAGTGTTGATTCTGATGGTGCCGCAATTCACAAGCTTTGTTACCGCAGCTTGGGGAAGCATTCGCAAGAAAAATTGTCCATGGCCCACAAATAAAGCCATTTTTTTTGTAAGTATGATAATATCTATAAATATTCATTTATATAGTAATTCATGTTAAACTATGTGGATAAAAAGAATGTTTATATAATTATATACAGTAAACCATGGATTTTATTCAAATCAAGTGTAGAATGCATGGAATATGATGGTACTTGCATCAGGATGAATGTCGGGAACCTGGGATCATGACATTTATTTTGACAAATCTAGGAAACAGGTTTCATTGCAAAGGGGGAAAATGGTCCAGATGGATTAAAAATATATATATTGGTCATGGGATGAGATTAGGTCAAATGTCTAGTTAAAAATTCTTAATTTGTAATTTGAGACTTTAATATTGACAATATTGACCATTTGTTGGAAGTTCCTGATCTTCATTTTTCTACCTTGGAAACTTTCCATCAGAAAAGTTAGCACCAACCATTGAGCATTTTGCAAAACTTACATTAATCAATAGAACTTTGACAACAGCCATGGAGAGGACATTTATGCAGGATTTTTTCACCAGGGGGGCAGTAATACCTGTATGCTGAAATAAGTATGAAAATGTCAATGCATTCAAAGGCACTTCAGTTTATAGATGCTTATGACTGCTGCATACAGAGTGATACATGCTGATTCACATTCTGATTATACATGTATTGTAAGTGCCATTTGTCTTAATAATTTGTAATAACATAAAAAATTTTTTGAGGGCAGTTGCCCCTGCTGCTCTCCCGCTGCATGCGGCCATTGGGGGTTGGTGAAAGTGTGCACCCCCCACCTCTTTGTTAATCTGAGCCAGATCCTGTCCAGCAGCCTAGATATACAATTTGGCAAACCCATGAAGCTTTAATAACACCACCCTACTCTGTTGTTTTACTCTTTCTAACACAAAACTGTTTTGCTTGCCAAGTGGGGGGAGGGGGAGGGGATTGTTGAGTTAATTAAATCTATTGAATTTAATATTTTCTCACAGTGTGTCCTATCAAGCATCCTTGAAGTGATTGGTCTGTCATTCTTCACGATGGTCGCATTAACATATGAGAGATACAGCGCTAGTGAATTGATTGCCGTCATGACATGTGTCAGCATGGTATCGATACTGTGGCAAATATTGAAGTCAAATCAAAAAGATGAGCGGAACACTGCTACAAGAAAATTCTTGTCCTTTGTATGTGGATTCTTGCAGCTTGTAGGATTTGTTGTTGTCATTGCTGTGACAGTAAGTGTTTCTTCAATAGTGCATTTGGTCAGCATGGGAAATTTGTGAGAGCATTTTGATCAGTTACTGTTTGTCGGTTGGCTTGTTTTTAGCCAGCCAGTAATTTGTTGGTTTGGTCGGTTTGGTGGTTGGTCGGTAAGACAGTTAGGTACTAGTTTGCAAACCAATATGTCATTTCCTTTGCAGAGTAGTTTAATTAATAGGTACTCGGATCGGTTGCATGAAAAGTCAGTCCCTCAGACTACCAGGGTCGTATTCAGCCCCAAATGAGTGAGTGATCTGATTGTCCGGGGGATTTGATTGTCCAGAGTATCATGAAAATGTTTCTAGTTTTAGGGTCTGCAAAGTGTTATTTCATGCACTTTAGACATGTTTTATGATAATCCGAAAGCCACAGTTTTGGTATATTTTATGTCATAAATGAAAGCATTATGAGGTTATGCCCCCCCCCCCAGTTTCTCCTGAATTTTGGAAGAGTTACAAAATTGGTCTGACGAAAAGTGACTGAGAAGGGGGATGGGGTCCAGACTCCTTAATCCCCCATGTGGCTACCCCTCTGAGTCTGCTTTTGGCTACGTCTCAAGTCCTCTAATGACACTAAATCGAAGTTTTATCAACTTGTAGCAGCACAAATCGCTACAAATAAAGCAATATAACAGAAATAAAAAGAGCATTCCTATATTGGTATCTTTAAGATTCTTGCATCTTTTGTCTTTCTAGGATGGAAATGATCGGTACTCTTTGATTCCACTCATCTTAATTTCCATTGCCTGGCTTCCGAAGATGAGAAAACTGCAATCTAAGCCTAGACCAACTCCGACGGAAACAGGTGATGCTTTGCCTTTGCAATTCTCGTTTAACTGAAAAAGTACAGGTTTCTGAAAAGCACATAAAGTACAGGTTTCTGAAATGTATTCATTCAGTAACGTGCATCTACAAGTTAGAAACAAGGTCAAGGAGCACGATGGATGACTCCAGCTGCCTATAGACTAAATTAAATCTATAGACTAAATTGATCTAGGCAAGAAAAACAAAACCTAACACACACAGCTAGAACGAGCATGTTAAAATTAGTAAAATTGCAAAGTTTGGTTGCGAAATGTTGTAAAATGAGGAAAATATAGCCCTGTGAAGTTCGCAAATTTTGTATATATTTGCATTACGCGCGGGAAAAATAACCATTTTTGAGCGGAAAGTCAGGTTATTTTTACCGCACGTAATACGAATATATACAAAATTTGCGAACTTCACAGGGCTATATATTCTTCATTTTACAACATTTTGCAACCAAACTTTGCAGTTTTACTCATTTTAAGACGCTCTTTCTGGGTGTGGTGTTTCGTTCTTCTTGCCTTGATCAAAATTTAGTCTATGCTTGAATCACTCATTGGCATTGCATATACAAAGTTAACACAGAAACACTACAAATTGACTCCAACATTCCTCAGTCCCATCATGGATTGTAAAATAACCATTACAATCCATGGTCCTATCAGTCCAGCATGTTTCATGCCAAGACATGTCACTGAGATAGTGAGATATACACTTGGGCTACTTTGGTGAAAATTAAATTCACGAAACAGTATATAAATCTACCTTTGACATAAGTATGACTATTATTAGTACTATTTAAAACACGGGCAGGCGTTCCTCATCTTATGAGTTCATTTGCGAAGTAATTTTAAAAATCAACGTTGTCTTAGGGGCTGATTACATGGGCCGAGTTAGTGTCCCGCTTTGCCGAGTTGTCCCGGCTAAGCGAGTTGACTTTTGAATTGCGATTACATGCACTGCGTTAACCCGGCTAGCCGGGCTGAAGTCTTGCCGGGACCGCGGCT